TCCTGCTGAAGACACTCATCTCTGTGAAAGTGAAGCACGTATTTGTATCTCCACAAAACTTCCTTAGTGTTAGTCCAGCTCCTTTTGATATTGAAAAAAAACAACCCAAAAACATTTTAAGAAGACAAAGGTTTAAGTATACAATGCCAGCAAGTGTTACATGTTTAAAAAAATAATTTAAATATGTCTCAAGAACAGGATGCAGACTCTCATTTGAAAAATGTAGCAAACAAACTCTACACACTCTTTTACCTACACTGGACTCTAAGTAACACATTGGCACTGATTTTATCTCAGGGTTAAGGTGGTTTTCTAAAATGTAACATTTACAGTTTTCAAGTTTTCTAACAATACATCACTTTCAGTAGAAACAGGTAACAACTTAGTCATCAACACCTTTTACTAGTTTCTACTTTACTAGGAAGAGTTGTATGCAAATGTGTGTTTGCATATTTCTGAAAAAGGAAAGTGTGCCCTGGCTCAAATGTTTCACTTCTTGCAGATCTGAAGTTTTGATTTATAGGCTTAATGAGTAGAATCAAGCAGAACAAGCAGTACTATCATTGTGACTGCGCTACATAAATGGGTGTCAGCTGATAACACTACTTACCATTTTAAAATCCCCTCCTCTGTGCCAGTAATTTTGACAAACATTACCCAAATAAGATATATGTCCCCCACCTGCTATCTTTCTAGGGTTGTTTTCTGTGGGGAAAATTGCAGCTAAAATACATCAGATATTTCCAGGGCAAGGGGAAAATACAGTTTGCTGAATTAAAAAAAAAACAAAAAAACAAAACAAAACAAAAAAAAACAACAACAAAAAAAGAGAGAGTGCGAGCTTTTGGGACCATTTATTTGAAAAGCTCTAGTGCTCTCATACTCTGACAGGGGGCTTTCGTTTCATGGCAAGTTTTGGTGTTAGGAGTAAATTGCAGTATTCTTTTAACACAGATTTGGGATATGACACACAGTACATCTCCACCCTTAACACCTATTCAAAAAGCTCCGTGCTAAATCCCTTTCTCCTTTGTTTTAGATGGATGGGCTTTTAAAAACAATATTGTTATTAAAAATCACAGAAGCCTTGAAGATCGAAAAATTGCAGCACAATTTCTTCAGAAAAATAATCCTTTATGTCCAGTGGTTTTAGACACTATGGAAAACCTGAGCAGTTCAAAATACGCTGCATTGCCAGAACGACTGTATCTACTTCAAGAAGGGAAGGTCATCTACAAGGTAAAAAACCCCAACAATAATAATGAGCACAATATATTGAGATTTTTAAATTTAAAAAAAAAATGAGAATGCTTTATATTTCACAGTCAGTATTTCATTCTGTTTGAGAGCTAAAAATTTCACAATTCACTGTAACTGCGGAAAGACTTGCAGCAAAACCAGTCTGGGCCTTTACAATGTACATATTTGATGTACACCTCAGTCTTGCTCAAATATTTATCTTTTGGCTCGTTAGGAAACCTAGGTCCATCTAAGCTATGAGATCCAGGAACACTTTCCAGCTCCAGGATCTAGACATTGGCCCTGTCCCAGTTACACAGCAGGGTGTAACCCGTACATACACCATCTCCCACGCGATGGCTGTCATGCAAAGGAAGCCCAAGCACACCTGTCCACCATTTGGGTGCAAATGTCATGCTCTAAAGAACTTCTGCTTTGCCTACTTGAGTATCACTGTGTAATTTTACTGCCTTTGCAGGGAGGAGTGGGGCCTTGGAATTACCACCCCCAGGAAATACGCGCCATCCTAGAAAAATTGAAATAGAAAAAGAAAAGAAGAGGACTTCAGAGTAAAGACTATCTGGATTTAAAAAGCTCAATGAATAAGCTTTCTTAGACGTAACTGTAAGAAGAAAAAAAAAAGAATTTAAAAATAACAATAGAGACAGCAAGAATAACATATGTGCATCTAAAGAGCATCTGTAATGTGGTTCATTATGTGTTTGGCTAAAGGTTTTCAAGTCTCATCACTACAACCCCAGCTACTGCACTGTAGTATCATACTACACTTACACCACATGCAGTAATAAGTAGTAGTCGAGTCCATCGAGCTGTCAGGACTGGATACCAACATTCCAACATTTACATTTGTAACGAATATTGTGCAGGATAAACTTCAGGGGTGGTGACATGTGCAAAAGTCGACTGGCATGCAAAACAACTGATTTCACATTATGAAGATTCTCTTTCTGTTGTATACATACGATTTTCCTAAATGTTCACTTTCACTGACTTCAGAAGGCTTCTGAGTAAGGCAATCTCTATCAACATTTGTTTCTACTAGTATTTGTTATGACAGTCACAGCATAAAGCACAGACGGCTGTGACCTGATTGTAGAAAATATTTGTAGAAACAAGGGATTGATCTGCAATTATTAAAAATGTATCAGAGCACTTCATATGGCTTCAGATTATTTCCCTCCCCACCCACCCACCCCTGATTACTTCCTACTGTCAAACAAGTCCTTCAAAATGTATATAAAAGTCTACTAATGCTTTGAAATAATGCCTCCCATTTAAGTATTTCACAGGATTTTTTCTATTTAACTCAGAGTGCAAGGGAAACGTTTTACAGGAAAGCGGGTTTTAATTCATATATTAAGAAAGCCTGATAGAAACATACTAATTTAAATGGACTCAGTTATGTTCAAGTTTTCTAGGGTAACAATCTAGGTTATAAAACTATAAAGTTGTTACAACAATTAAGAAAAGTACTAATCAGTGGGGAATACATACTACATCCATACCTTCAAAAAACATTTTAATGCAAGGTTTTAATAATAAATATTCTCTGTGCTACAGATATCAAAATATAACTTCCTTATAAAAAAAACCTGAAGTACAAATGTAATCTGGACTTAAGTGTTTTCTGCTGTGCCCTCTGCCATCACCCGGTGCACTGATACAAAGTGATCAAAGGCAGATTTGATGATGAAACGCAAGTAAGTGGCTTGGAAATCAGGAAGCTGTAAAAGGAAAAAAAACATTATTGCATTCTCTGTAGTAACATAACTATCAAACAAAATTTGCAAAGTTTGTTAGGCAGAAGGATCTAGATGTTTCTGTATTACACATATATCAAGCTCTTTTAATGCATCTGGCCAGCTTCAGAGTTTCTTTAGATGACAGCAATTCAAAAAAGTCCCATCCCTCCCAAATACTGCAGCCTTAAAGGCCAACAGCTGACGGAGGAAAGATTGACACACTTGTGGAAAGAGCTCTTTCACATAGTTAGGAGCAGTGGGCAGGTGCAATTTCATACCATAATCTACAAAGGAGCAGTCAGGAAGTGCAATTTCATACCATGATCTACAAATTCCTTTATCCAACATCAACGCTGCAATAACTGTAAGTAAAGACATGTTTTGGTTTTTCATGGTTTCTCCCCAGTTAGTCTGGACATCCCATTTCATGAACTACTAGTGATGTACACTGTAAGTACTCACTGGAAATTCTTCCATTTGAAGCTGTCCTTCCGTGTGTTGTAAATCTAGAAAACATATTTTAAAGCAAATAATGAAGAATAATGTGCAATGCTGTGAAAAGTTTTCACTGGGCTTCAGGGTTCAAGAGAGTTTAAGGACCATGAACTTACACTGCATAAAGAAAGTGTTGGGTTTTTGTTTTGGTTTGGTTTTACAAGGTGATATAACAGAAAAAATACTTTTTGCAGTATCCTAGTGTATATATATCCCACTCATTACACTGTTTTATAAAATGTCTCCCAAGAGGCATTAAAAGAAACCCCAAAACAAACCAACCAAACAATGCAGGAAATGGCACTCTATTATACTATGTAAGTCTGTTTTTAATTTTTGGGACATAAAAGCTAGTGCACAAGTAGTGCTTTTTAGCCCTTATACAGCATTTTACATCTCCAAACTGCTACGGAGACCAGCAGTGTTCATTAACTTCATTTAAATCTAACTATTACATTAATGTCTAATAAAATAATCAAGCCACAATTCACTACTCAACAAATAGACATAGGGTTAAAATGACTGACTGAAAAGGATCAACATTATTCCCACAAAATCCCCACTGCTTCAGATTCTGAATCTTACCTTTTTCAATGCACTCTTCAAAATCTACTGGGTCTTTAGATACGCTTCTTTCAATCCTTAAGGTCCGCACTAAAATATATATACATTTAAAGTATCAACACAAATTCTGATTCTTTATTGGTAATCGTATTTATTCCGTCACTTTTCATCTACAAAGCCCTTTAAAAGCATTAACTAATCCATTCTTCTTCTAACTTATGGGGCAGGACTGCAATACAACCATCATCCTCATGTTCCAGGTTGGACAAACAATGACAAGTTTTCATGTCTTTGCATAGCCCTTGCTAATGGTCAAGCTTCCACCTCCATGCTCTGACCTTGTAACAGTCCTTTCAGTTTTAGAACTCATGTTTTCCTTCACATCATTTAAGAGAGTATGACTGAGAGTTCTGTCCTATGAAATCATAAAACTCAATATTCAAAATAAATCACTACAAGGACTAAGTATTGTAGTCCTGTCCATTAAATTAGAACAGCCATCACTGTGCAACAGAGCAGTTAATTTTAAGGTCAATACGAGGCATTTTAAGAACAAAGAAAGGGCAGGTAGGGTAGATTTTCCTTATTTTTCTGATTTATGAAAAACTTTGGATGTGAAGGACGATTGCTTTGTGAAGTTAAATCTTTATGAGTCTGTTAAAAGTGGCTACTTACAGAATATAGCGCTACCGTGAGAATTTACTTGTAGGCACAGACACACATCTTAACATAGTACATATTACCCACTGCAATACATGAAGTCTTACCCAAGTAACACTGGATTGCGACTTTGCTGATTTTTACACATTTAGGAAAACCAATGATGAATTCCTGTGGGAACATGCCCGTCGTCGTCCAAAACGTTTCTGAACTTCTGTGGAGAGAACACGACAAAACCCCCACCTGAAGCTTTCCATCTATCTATAACCATCTTGAAAGAAATCCCATCATCGAAAAAGAAAAGAAAAAGCTGCAAGGCCATCTTTACTTGGGGTATTTTAAGCAAACCCCTGTACCACAATGGGGAAGCTCCCTAAAGGTATCAATACTTTAACCCTCAGGCTCTGTGGCCGAGCAGTACCACAGAAGGACCCACTATTAATAATAATAATAGTTAAATTATGTGGCAACACGAGCGGGCAAGCAAAGGACAGAGTCTGGCGGCGACAG